ACTTGGTAGTTGGTATGGAATTCGGGGTATTGATGCAATTGCTGTGAGTTTTCTTAGTGAGCATTAAGGTGCTGCTTTAACTTGTCTAATTGGACTTGTTTAAGTGGATGGATTAGTCTGGTAAATTATCTTCATTTCTCCTAATCCTTTTTGGGGGGTGTCTGAATAATATTTAGTCCAGTATGAAATGGGCGTTGATTATCAGATGTGGGGTTATTCTCAAAGCATTGAACCCTTGAAGTTTTACATGCAAAAGCTATTTTGGTCTTTCATTTTTGCTTATAATTCTGTTTTATCTGTCTATGATGTAATGAAAATTTCCAAGAAACTCCTGCCGGTAGCTGCATTGTTATTGTAGTGCTTTCTGGTCGTTGGTTTATATGTACTTTTAGGTGTCCGCTAATAAAGTTTGACTTGGCTATGGTGTCTTAAACTATGACTAGGAACATGTAATAATAAATTCTAGGTGAGGTGGCTTTGGAAGGAATTTGAAATGTAGCCCTCCAGTACATTAGAATTCATAAATGGTAATTTTCCAAATGGTGTGATGGGAAAGCCTTATCCTGCCTTTCAAGAGTGAATCCAATTTTGGGACTATTACTATTAACGTCTAGACTGGAAAATTTGAAACGAAAGTTATTTGGTGAGAGGATTAAATGAGAAGAAGATACTGTGAGAAATTTAGTTGAGCTAATTACAATTAAAATGCTTTCCACTTGCAGTTTTGGTTTATTGTTGGTTTAGATAACCATTGTGTTTTAAACTCTTTGTTTATTTCTTTGCCCTGTCATTAAGCTGCTAAGTAGTTAAAAGATGGGTTATGACCATGGCTTATACTCATTTAACTAGCAATTTTTACATGTTTTATCAGGCTAGTCATGAGCACTTGATTTCCCATGTTCTACCGATGCTTGTTCGAGCCTATGATGACACTGATGCTCGTATGCAAGAGGAAGTTCTGAAAAAGACTGCATCGCTTGTTAAGCAGCTTGATGTTCAGGTAATTGGCAAGTGCATATCCATTCTTATTGTTTTAGTGTGTATTAGCTTAGTGCTTCTCAGGACCCTTTTTTCTTGTCAATTTGGATATTCATGTGTATCTTTTGCAGTAGCAAACTCTTATTATGTTGTTGTCATATAATTTGCAGTTTTAGCCTGATGTCTTGGTCCTCTAATAATTTCTTAATGAATCATAGCCTTTAAATGGCAAGATTTCTGAAGTGTTTTCGTTTCTAGTCTTGCACTGACGATTAGTAAGTGGTGAGCTCTGTGAATATTAGGCTTTATGATAAGTTTTCTCGATTGTTCAGGAGGATATAATTGGCTTGGTGTGAAGAGGTAAATGTCTCACTTGTTACAGGATAGTGTACTCGTACGTCTTCTTGAAGTCCATATTTTCTGGATATTTGCTTCTTAGAGATAATGTGATTCAGCCCTTGATATTCTTGAACCGTTGTCATATGACTAAAACTGCAATTATTTTTTTAACTAAATTTGGCTTAAATTAGGCTATACAGCCTATACCGACCACGACTTAGGAACAAAGCTTTTCGGTTTCAAAAGAAGATGCCCTCACTAACTTACCCTACTCCTCCCGCGGCCTCCTTTGGTTCTGTCGGTTGATCTCTCTCTCTCTCTCACCCTTCCTGCAGGAAGTCTCCAATCTCTCAAAGTCCAATCAGCCACCGGCAATTTATCTTCCTTCCTATACTCTTCTCTTCTTTTTGCTACTCGTGGTGTACCACCAAAACACCAAGTTTTCAGCTGCGATATTGGGCTAATCTAGATTGTGTTTGTTACCAAATTTAGCATCTGTTTCTTACTTAATTCAGGTAATTAACTATTAGCTGCATACTAACTGGGACAACTTCCAGATTAGCATTAGATTGTTATTGAATTTATTGGGCTGCTATCTCTCACTTGCTTATTTGCTGTCTAGTTGCATTTTTCTTTTTTTTCTTCATTTTTGAGTGGATCAAGCCTGTAACTTCATTTACCTGTCTAGGTTTTTTGTATACTTATTATTATTCAAGAAAGTTGATTCTTTTACTTAATTTTCTAAAACCCCACTTGCATTTAGTAAATTTGAGTCACAATTTCCAAGTATTGCACACTAATTTGATCAAAAATTGCATTTTGTTAAAGTGTATTTTTTTTATGTGACAAGTGTAATATGCATTTCGAACTCAAATTTTGCTTTGTAATTGTGGTATAATGTAATTTTCAAAGTAAAGAAAGAAAAATAATCTTTTTCCTAAGAAGAAAATCGTTACTTAAGTGGCTGATTGATGCATTTTAATGCATTTTCCTTTTGTTTTCTTCTTCTGCCCCTTTTTGTCAGCCATCTTCAACTATATACATGTCGGCACTTGCAGTAACAGAAAGACTGCAGATGGAGATGGTGCCAGATACCGAAGCATTTATGAAGTTTGCATTCCACCAAGCAAAACTTGCTTTAGATAGCCTTGAAGTTTCTGTTGGCTGTGTTATTGTGGATGAAGGAAATAACGTTATTGCCTGTGGAAGAAATCGAACCACTGAGAGCCGAAATGTTATGAGGCATGCAAAGATGGAAGCCATTGATGTGCTTCTGGACTAGTGACGAGAAACTGGACTTTCAAAGGCTCAAGTTGCTGAAAAGTTTTCAAACTGCACCTTTTAGAGCAAATTATCCGGTTGACTACTAAACTTTTGCAATCGTCGAGTTTTGGTCACTCAACTATTAAAAGTCTGATTTTGACCACTAAAATGTATAATGTTAAGACGCAAGACTATTCTGTTAGATTTAGTCGTTAAGTTCTCCGATCTGTCTGTTCGTATGATTTTCAAGATAAAAAGCAAGGTCAATTTAGAAAGTTCAACATTGGCCATCCTCTTACACAGCTTCATCTCCTCTCCAATAGAGGAGATTTGACTCTGATTCCCCTATGGCAGAAGAAACAATGTCAGCCTCTGATTCTCATATGGCAAATCTCCAACTAAAACTTTCTTCTCCTCTCTAGCCACTAGATTTCCTTCTCCAACGTGGTTTTTGGCCGTCGGCGTTGCCAATTTTAGAGCAAGGGTGATGGAAGGCTTTGGGGAAGTGCAAAATCAACACAAATTTCTCTATTTTGGAATAGATCAATTTTGAGGGCGCATAATTATGCTTCCATTGGAGATACTTTAGAATCAGAATGGATAGCTTACTGCCAAAGATGAAGGTTAAGAGGATAGTTTGGAAAAGCAACAGCAAGGAAAGAATTGCGAATGAAGTTAATGATGACCATGATAGCTCTTCAAGAATATCTCAGGATGATGCAAAAAAAACAGTTGCTGATCTGATTGTTCGCATCTTACTGCTGTCCCAAAAACTAGTGATTCCGATGCATCAATGAACCTCCAACATGATTTGCAGAACCAGCTTCTTTGTGATTCTTAGATGTCTATATTACAAACAAACAATACACTATATGGGCCTTGTATGATGCCCCTTCTTCTTATTTCCAATTTGTTAGCTCCCTACGATATTGGATTTCAGAATGAATATTTTTCTTCTCTCGAAACCTCTCTAGCTTTCAATTTTGTTACTGTAGCTACTCTAGTTCTCACTCCAAGTATTCTGTTCGTTTCAGGAACTAAGTACTCGAAGGGAGAGGTTCGTTAAACTTGTTAAATTGATCCTGTCTTTTGTTTTGGAAATCACGCGGACAGACAGATCGACGAACTTAACAGTTAAATCTAACAGAATGATCTCGCGTCTTAACTTTATACATTTTAGTGGCCAAAACTAGACTTTTAATAGTTGAGTGACCAAAACTCGACGATTGTAAAAGTTTAGTGGCCGATCGGATAATTTGGTCGCACCCTTTATGTCACATGCGAGCCGTGCATTATGTGTGTTGCAGCCTTATCATTGCTTGGTATAAAACAAGTGTATTGTGGCAGTGCAAATGATAATTTTGGAGGCTGTGGATCGATATAGTCACTGCATTCTGGAGATCATTCGAGGAGGGGTTTCAAGTGCCAAGGAGGAATAATAGCATCAAAAGCAGTCTCTCTTCTACGGGCTTTCTATGAGCAGGGAAATCCCAATGCACCTAGGCCTTATAGACCACCGAGTCAATTGGCTTAGGACTGTGTAGATTCTCTGATTTAGATCAATGAAAGTGATCGACTCTTTCTTGTTCCTAAAATGATACCTCTGTAATCATTCATTATTAAGAGATTTGTTAGTGAAATAAGGATTGCATCAGTAAGCTTCGAAGTAAGGCCTTATCTATCTTCCCCACAAATTTTTAATTGCCTTCGAAATCTGTCTTTTGAAGTTTTCGTTCGACATTTGTAACTAAGTAGTTTCGCAGCTAAAAAACCTACAATCCAGATTCCGACATATAATGAGCTGTAGAATTATAGTAGACTTTGTGACAAGGGAAGAAGCCCCAAATTGGGGTGATTGACTCTGCCAAGAAAAAGAAATTGCGCCAAAAATGAACAAATTTGGGTTATTGGTTCATTGTTTTTCCCCCTTTTCGTTAAATGCACTAAGCCCTCCTTAAATTTATACCTAAATGCTGTTTAATAATTTTTAGGCACTTAATTTTATACCTAAATGTTCCCTAAAAAAAAACCTTTATACCTAAATGATATATATATATATATGTATATATATATATATATACTCGATCAAATGTACCGTTGTTATGTTAATTACCTTTATCGCCTTTGTTTACTTTTAATTTCTTTTCTTTCTATCTCCCTTTTCTCATGCTACTTTTCATATTATCTGTAAATAATTGTACATTTTAGTGTAGGATAGGAGTTTATTTGAAAGATTTATTTGAAATAATAGTGATGTGATGTATGTGAAATAAAAAAGTAATTAAAATTTGAAAAGCAAATTATTTTATTTCACAATATTTCAATCCAAACACACCTGGGAAATTTGGAAAGCAACTCCCTCTTCGTTTCATTATTTAGAAATATTTTACTAATAAATAAGCGTCCTGTGGCCATTGATGGGTAGGCAGACCAAAAAAAATCCCAGTTTTTGGAAAAATTTTCCCTATCCTTTTCTCCATTTTCTGATTTCTTTCTTCTTTTCCCTTTAAAAACTGTTTAAAGGACTAAAGTTTCAGCCACCCCTGCCCGGGCTACTCCCATCTGAGCCCTGGTTCCCCCGACCTCTCCAGACTCCTCGTCGCCGTCAATCCGACGTTTCCTCCTGTAAGTCGCCGTGAATGACCTAAGGCCTCCACATCGCCTGCTCTTGGTCAAGTTTGTTTCTTAACTTTTTGTTCATCAAAATTAAAGTTTTTTTATGTAAATTGAAATAGTCAGGGCTTTGTTACAGTTTCTTGCCTGTTGATTTCTTTAGCACATGGAGTCAGGGATTAGCTTTCTTGCTTTTTGTTATGAATTTGCCATGAAATCTTGCTGAAACTTTCCTTTGAACTTGCCGTGTGATATTTGCAGCTTATTTATGTTTGTCCTGTGGAGCTATTTTTATTTATTATTGCTGTTTTTAATTCCAAATAGCAAAAAATCGACACTTTTATCTAATTTACATGAGAATAGGAATGGGTTTCTTAAAAATCGACTTCAAAGTGGATTTCAGAAACGGATTTCTTCTCCGTTTTACCCCCTCCCCTCTTTGCTTTTCTGCTCTTGCTTTTTCCTTTTGCAATTCACACGACTCCCTAAGAGAGGCATTCAAACACGGGGGCCTTCGTTTTGGTACACCACAAATCCACCATAACTGATCCCGATAATTGAGTAATTATTGACACCATCTTTTCCTACAAATTTCCAACATATACATTTCATTTTGGAAAAGCTGGGATCTTTCATTGGACAGCAGTGTATGCTAAATTCATGGGCAAAGTACTATATGCCCCCTTGAAGATTGTAGGCATCATATTCATACATCGGTTGGCCGTGAATTGGGATTATAGAGGTTTTATAGGTGAAAAGGTTTCAGTTTTGGACGCCAAAGTTGTATTGTGACCTGATTATGTTGTTTACTGTTCTTGGAGGTAGTATTTAGTACTTAACATGCTTGATTAAGAAGAGTATATAGTCACGTTATCAAAACTAGGGACAGTTGTGCTAAAAGCCTTAAGTATTTAATACTACCTTTCCTCTCAGCGGAGACCTTATTCTTGCAAAAATACTTCGTTTGGATTAACTGTTTTTGGGGGTGTTTTTGAAAAATGTTACTGTAGCAGAGTTTTTATAGTATATTTTGGGATTTTTTAGAATATATTTTGGGGTATTTAAAAGTAATAAAGTTTTTAGAATATATTTTGGGATATTTTTCAAACATTAAAAAAAATTTAAACTACTTTTAGAGTACTTTTTAAAAATTTTTATAGTATTTGAAAAACTCTTGCTTTGGATGATGCTATACCATTACTGTAAATCATGGCAGACGGTTTTGGTACAGCCAACAAATTTCCAGCTACAACATCTGTTATTATTCCCTAGTTTATATAACAGTGAAGTAAGTGTTCGCATCATACCGAGCAGGGAATTTGATGTTAACTTCCAAGTTGTCTTACTCGCTGGTTTCTTTATTTTTTTTGGTGGGAATTATTTATGAAGAGTGAAAACTGAAGAATAGAGTAACAATGTCGAGATTACTGCAGCTTATGATCTGCTATTCATAACGGATGAAAGATGTAGATCAAGTTTGCTGTATTGAAATCAACGTTGTAAAATGTAGTTAAACACTTGATATTTCTGTTAGAGAAGCTAAAGCTAAATTAAAATTATTGCCATGAAAATACAAATTCAGTTGTTTTCCATTTACTTGTCACAATTATATCATATCATGTCAATAGAACTTCATGCCAACACTAAACACTGATCTAGTACAACTCCGTTTTTCATGTCCGTCTAAAGTGATTTCTTCCTTGCAATAACCATGGCTGCAAACGCTCCACAGAGACAATAATATCACGCAGAGAGTTTTCCAGTTTCTAACATTATTGCTTCTCTTCAACTGCATTTTGTTCAAACATCAAAACAGTGCAAACATTAGGCGTCATCCTTCTTTCCTTTGCTCATTTCTCTTGCCTTTTCCTCTATCTTTCTTTTCCTGGTTGATGGCGGTTGGTTGATTTTCAGATGATCATCAGCTACAAAATCATCTAAAAAGCATGTAAAACTTCCTGCGAAAATCAATTTGCCCTCTTTTGGAGTTAAGAGAAAAAGAGACAGAGAGAACCGAATTGATACTTCTTTGGCGTGAAATAAGGAGTCGTGTGGCCCTTGTAAGTTTTAAGAGCTAGTGGCAAGATAATGAAGCTGAGCAAAAGTAAAAGCAGGCGGACTTATTGACAACGTTTACTGATTAGATATATGGAACTACTACATGTTATTTCTTTTCTTTTAATTTTGCACACACACACACATATATATATATATATATATTGGGTTTTGGTTGCTAATTAGAATAAAATAGGCAATCTGAATATATATTATTGACCATTACTATCCTGCTCAAAGCAACCCCCTTCCCCCCACGGCCGCCCCAAAAAAAACCCTTCCTGCCTTTACTTTTTGCAGCACATATGATAAATTTCAATGTAATTTTTGGATATTTCCTATTTATAATTCTTTCTATTTTATCATCTAATCCAACTTTTCGTCATATGACTTTTTTTTTTTTGGAACCGTCGTCATATGACTAAAACTGCAATTATTTTTTTTAACAAGATTTGGCTTAAATTAGGCTATAAAGCCTATACCGATCAATAAGTAGGAATAAAACTTTTCGGTTTCAAAAGAAGATGCCCTCCCTAACTTACCCTGCTCCTCTTGTGGCCTCCTTTGGTTCCATCAGTTAGTCTCTCTCACCTTTCTCGCTGGAAGTCTCCAATCTCTCAAAGTTCAATCGGCCACCGGCAATTTCTCTTCCTTGCTATACTCTCTTCTTTTTGCTACTGGCATACCACCAAAACACTAGCATCCGTTTCTTACTTAATTCGTGTAATTAATCATTAGCTACACACTAACTCGGAAAACTTCCAGATTAGCATTAGATTGTTATTGAATTTATTGGGCTGCTATCTCTCACTTCCTTATTTGATGTCTAGTTGCATTTGTCTTTTTTTTCTTCTTCTTTTTTGAGTGAATCAAGCATGTAACTTCGTTTACCTGTCTGGGTTTTCTATATACTTATTACTATTGGAGAAAGTTGATTCCTTTACTTAATTTTCTAAAACCCCACTTGCATTTAGTAAATTTGAGTCACAATTTCCAAGTATTGCACACTAATTTGATCAAAAAATTGCATTTTGTTAAAGTGTATTTTTTTTATGTGACAAGTGTAATATGCATTTTGAACTCAAATTTTGCTTTGTAATTGTGGTATAATGTGATTTTCAAAGTAAAGAAAGAAAAATAATCTTTTTCCTAAGAAGAAAATCGTTACTTAAGTGGCTGATAGATGCATTTTAATGCATTTTCCTTTTGTTTTCTTCTTCTGCCCCTTTTTGTCAGCCATCTTCAACTATATACATGTCGGTACTTGCAGTCACAGAAAGACTGCAGATGGAGATGGTGCCAGATACCGAAGCATTTATGAAGTTTGCATTCCACCAAGCAAAGCTTGCTTTAGATAACCTTGAAGTTCCTGTTGGCTGTGTCATTGTGGATGAAGGAAATAATATTATTGCCTCTGGAAGAAATCGAACCACTGAGAGCCGAAATGCTACGAGGCATGCAGAGATGGAAGCCATTGATGTGCTTTTGGACCAATGGCGAGAAAATGGACTTTCAAAGGATCAAGTTGCTGAAAAGTTTTCAAACTGCACCCTTTATGTCACATGCGAGCCGTGCATTATGTGTGCTGCAGCCTTATCAATGCTTGGTATAAAACAAGTGTATTATGGCTGTGCAAATGATAAATTTGGAGGTTGTGGATCGATATTGTCACTGCATTCTGAAGATCCTTCGAGGAGGGGTTTCAAGTGCCAAGGAGGAATAATAGCATCAGAAGCAGTCTCTCTTCTACGGGTTTTCTATGAGCAGGGAAATCCCAATGCACCTAGGCCTCATAGACCACCGAGTCAATTGGTTTAGGACTCTGTAGATTCTCTGATTTAGATCAATGAAAGTGACCGACTCTTTGTTGCTCCTACAATGATACCTCTGTAATCATTCATTATTAAGAGATTTGTTAGTGAAATAAGGATTGTATCAGTAAGCTTCGGAGTAAGGCCTTATCTATCTTCCCCACAAATTTTTAATTGCCTTCGAAATCTGTCTTTTGAAGTTTTCGTTCGACATTTGTAACTAAGTAGTTTCGCAGCTAAAAAATCTACAATCCAGATTCCGACATATAATGAGCTGTAGAATTATAGTAGACTTTGTGACAGGTAAGGGAAGAAGCCCCAAACTGGGGTGATTGACTCTACCAAGAAAAAGAAATTGTGCCAAAAATGAACAAATTTGGGTTATTGGTTCATTGTTTTTCCCCCTTTTCGTTAAATGCACTAAGCCCTCCTTAAATTTATACCTAAATGCTGTTTAATAAATTTTAGGCACTTAATTTTATACCTAAATGTTCCCTCGAAAAAAACCTTTATACCTAAATGGTATATATATATATATATATATATATACTCGATCAAATGTACTGTTGTTATGTTAATTACCTTTATCGCCTTTGTTTACTTTTAATTTCTTTTCTTTCTATCTCCCTTTTCTCATGCTACTTTTCATATTATCTGCAAATAATTGTACATTTCAATGTAGGATAGGAGTTTATTTGAAAGATTTATATGAAATAGTTACTGTAATATTTGTTATGATGTGATGCGTATGAGATAAAAAAGTAATTGTAATTTGGAAAGCAAAATTATTTTATTTCAAAACATTTCCATCCAAACACACAGGGGAAATTTGGAAAGCAACGCCCTCTTCGTTTTATTATTTAGAAATGTTTTACTAATAAATAAGCCTCCTGTGACCATTGATTGGCAGGCAGACCAAAAAAAAATACCAGTATTTGGAAAAAATTTTTTTTCCCTGTCCTTTTCTCCATTTTTTGATTTCTTTCTTCTTTGCCCTTTTAAGAAATGTTTAAAGGAGTTTGGTAAAAGTTTCAGCCACCCCTACCCCGGCTACTCCCATCTGAGCCCTGGTTCCCCCGACCTCTCCAGCCTCCTCGTCGCCGTCAATCCGACAGTTCCTCCTGTAAGTCGCCGTGAATGACCTAAGGCCTCCACATAGCCTGCTCTTGGTCAAGTTTGTTTCTTAATTTTTTGTTCATCAAAATTAAAGTTTTTTATGTAAATTGAAATAGTCAGGGCTTTGTTATAGTTTCTTGCCTGTTGATTTCTTTAGCACATGGAGTCAGGGATTAGCTTTCTTGCTTTTGTTATGAATTTGCCATGAAATCTTGCTGATACTTTCCTTTGAAATTGCTGTGTGATATTTGCAGCTTATTTATGTTTGTCCTGTGGAGCTATTTTTATTTAATATTGGTGTTTTTAATTCCAAACAGCGAAAAATCGATACTTTTACCTGATTTACATGAGAATAGGAATGGGTTTCTTAAAAATCGGCTTCAAAGTGGATTTCCAAGAAATGGACTTCTTCTCCTTGTTTTCCCCTCCCCTTTTTGCTTTTCTGCTCCTTCCATTGCGATTCACACGACTCCCTCAGAGAGGCAGTCAATGTCACACAGGGCCTTCGTTTTGTTACACCACAAATCCACCATAACTGATCCCAATAATTGACTAGTTATTGACACCATCTTTTCCGACAAATTTCCAACATACACATTTTGGAAAAGCTGGGATCTTTCATTGGACAGCAGTTTATGCTAAATTCATGGTCAAGGTACTATATGCCCCTTGAAGATTGTAGGCACCATATTCATACATCGGTTGGCCATGAATTGGGACTAAAGAGGTTTTATAGGTGGAAAGGTTTCAGTTTGGACGCCAAAGTTGTATTGTGACCTGATTGTGTTGTTTACTGTTCTTGGAGGTAGTATTGACTACTCAACATGCTTGATTAAGGAGAGTATATAGTCACGTTATCAAAACTAGGGAAAATTGTGCTAAAAGCCTTCAATATTTAAAACTACCTTTCTTCTCAGTGCAGACCTTATTCTTGGAAAATAGTATTCTTAAAGATTAGTTTTTTTTCTTTTTTTGGTTGGTCTTAAATGCTCTTGTTTAGTCTTTGTGATTGCTTGCTTCAAAAAGGACTTAAAGGCTCTTTTTTTTTATTTGATGCATGCTTTTTATGCAAGGTTGAAGATTCCTGAGGTACCTTTTTGTGTTGCAACATTTTTTGTAGCTTGATGATTACTGTTAGTTTCTGCATTGAAGATACGGTTGTGCAAGTGAATCAAGACAATCAGTCAAATGGCCTTAACCAACTTCATACTCACGGTGGCCGTATCAGTGCTATGATTCTGCTGCTTAGGAGTGACGTCAAGCAATCTGCCACCATCTTCAGACACAACGTCCGACAGATACGCCATTGGCTTGAGGAAGAGTCTGCTTCTGCTGCAAAGTATTTATCCCTGATATTCTCTTGTACTCATTGGCCCTTTGTTTTAATACCCAACTCAACAAAGAGATTAAATCAAAAAATTTTACTTCTCTCATTTGAAATATCAATTTTTTTATCCATTTCTGACGCAAATGCTGTTGCTATTTAGCTTTTTTAGACCACATGCTTCCTAATTGAAAGTCTGGATAACTAGTCACTCTTTTCCCTTCTGTGGATTAGGTTTTGTCATAATATGAGGAAAATAGTTATTTGGTTTTACTCTTTTGACGTTTCCACATTTTAACAGCTTAAACTTGGTTGTGGAAGAAGTTTAATTCAGCAGTTGAAGTGTTTGTTTCTTGAACTAAGACAACAAATATTTCATCCGAGTTGCATGTTCAATTATGTTCGAGTAAAAAGGCACGAAAAGTTCCAAAAAACTTTGCTGAAATGTCATTCTCGATGATTGATTTGTTGTGTAGACCAAGTCGAACCTAATTTGGTCGCTAGTGGTAGCTAAATTATGATGATTTATTCTTGTTGGGCAGATTTCTTTTGCTGGGGCTGTATAGTTTTTGGGCATTAAGTTTTGCTTGTAGTTAGGCATTTCAGATTAGCATGTGACTGCCTGATCCTTCCATGGAAGGAATAAAAGTTTTTTCTCATTAGCATTTCTTTTAAACCGAGAAACTATTCTATTGTTCTTGCATTACACTTGGAGACCTGAAGAACACAGTTAAAGCACTTGCTTACTTATACATGTAAAAAAGAACAAAATGGTGATCGAAGGTTGGCCCAAATATTTTGGATGAGATAGGAACTCCATGTGAGCAGGGGAACACTTGGCTGTGTCGCCCAAATAATTCTTACTTAGTATGTATTTAGTGGGAAGAGCAACTGAATTTGAACTGATGGTGATATCTAACGCAGCTGCATATGTTCTTGTTTGCTACATTGATATCTTTGGTTTTCTTAAATTTACTTTTTGAAGGAGCCTGTTATCTCATTTTAACATTAAGCAACCGTATAATGGCATGCTTGGTTCCATTTAGGGAGATGGAGAGGGCAAAGCCAAAGGAGATGCCTGGAAAGGATGCACCCAAGGAGGAAAAGCACTCTCGTAAGGTTTAAAATTCTCAGATCAACCGTAAAAATTTTGGTCTAATATATACAGCATGGATTTCTAAGAAAGCATCATATTGTTGTAACACCGACCTGATAAGAGTGCATGTGTGACAAAAATTTGGTAGTCTACTTGAAAAAGCTTTTCAGACACTTCTGTTTTTTTTTCCCAGTAACGATAATAATTGTATAACACATTCTATCCTAATCTACAGGGGAAGGGGAGCCAAAGAAGCCTTGTGTCCAAAGAAAGCCTTGTGTGTTAGGGACTAGTAGGTATGTAAACCTAACTCCACCAAGGGGGTACTATGACACCACCCTTGGATTTTTTTTTTCTGCGGGTAGAGTTTGAACCCCCACCTGTTCAAACACTTCTGTTCAATTGGTGCTGGAGGAGAGTACACGAACAAATTCTGATCTTCAAACTAACTACCTTGAATTTGACAACTACTAAAAAGTTCAGTAAGGTTGAGGTACATAGGACGCTCTCTTTAAGACAATACACGCTCCTATGGTATTTTTTAAACCGATGCAAAAGGTCTAACGCATCGCTTCCAGGATATAACAACCAACTCTATAGTTGTTGCTATTCTTTGATCTGCACAACCAAGAGAAGCAGAAGCTTCCCTATATCTTTCTTTGCCCAAAGAAAATAGAACGAGGGAGAAAGAAATGAGTGTGAGAAGAATAATATTTAGAATTATCTTTTGTTGAGAAAAGTGTGTATGAAATTCTCCAAAGAACTTCACTATTTATAGGCTACAAAACCTTTAGAAAACGGTTGAAAGTCCAATGTATAACGGTTTTTTCATATTAAATTGTAGCTAATTGGTAGAATTTGTAACCTAAAAATTAATTCATATTTGAATGGCTTATAAAGACTCAATTTGACCAAATAATTCATTGATAGCTCTTATTCAAATAATTGTACAATAACTCCATTCAAAATGCATTGTAACTCCCAAAATTAAAATTCCCATTACTTCCAAATAAATTCTATTATAACTCCTTGTAAAGATTTAGTCAAGAAATAATTAAGATTTTATTAAAATACACCAACATTCCCCCACTTGTTTTAATAAAATCTGAAAGATATAAAAAAGGAAATTTGGACAAAGTGAGAACATCATGCATAGTGAAAGTGGCATTGTGTTGAAACCTTCATTTAGCGTTTCCATAATCCTTATATTAGAGTCAAAGTGGACTAAAGTTTTGAAACTAAGACTACTTTTAGATATGTAAGGTTATGTTACACACATGATATTCAAGATATTAATTAATAAGCTTCTTAAACCAGCACATTACGGCCTTGTGCTTTATCCCAGATTCACGAGTGTTTTAGAGAATTAGCCAAATTTTCATAGGAAGCACCCTTTACTTCCACACTCATATAGGTGAGTCTATCAAGAATACCCCTATGACTAAGGTATCCCACCCATAAAGGGCTATAGAACTCATTAAAAGATTTATATCAAATCTTGACATTTTCTTCGTTATAGAATCACGAGCATGCTTTACACCATGGGAAGGGATTTAATAATTTTTTTATAATATATGCATGTTTTTCACCCAAACCAATCTATGATTCGTTTGTCCCTGACTTAGTTCTTGTGATCTCCAGTCCGTAGGTTGTTGTATCTTCATAGATTATTCCAATTTAAAATTTCTTTAGGCTCAAGTCTCATTCCTTTTGATGTTTGAAAAATTTGTTCTCTGGCTAAAGCTTTCGTTAATGGATTAGTGAGATTTTCTTTTGATCTCACATGGTTTATATTTATAGCACCATCACATAAATATGATCTCACAGTATTGTGTTTTCTTCTAACAGCTCTGGACTTTTCATTATAATATTTGTACTCTACCAATTGCAGCAGTATTATCACAATGTAAAAGTATAGGTGGTACAGGTTTATTCCAAACGGGAATTTCAGATAATAAATCCCTTAACCAACTGGCCTCTTCACTGGCAGAAGGTAAAGCTATAAGCTCCATAGTAGATTTAGCAATAATGTGTTGTTTTTTAGATCTCCAACACACAGCTACACCACCCAAAATAAAAATATAGTCAGTGGTAGATAATGAGTCACCAGATTGAGAATTCTAATCTACATTACTAAACCCTTCTAAAACAGCAGGGTAATTTTTATAAAATAAACCATTATTTATAGTACCTTTACGGTATTTCATAACACTAGTAATAGCATTCCAATGATCATAACTAGGCTTACTAGTAAATCTACTCAAAATATTTACAGCATAAGCAATATCTGGTCGAGTACAATCAATGGCATATCTCAAACTTTCAATTATGCTTGCATATTCATGTTGATTTAACACAAATGCATCATTCTTAGTTGGATATAAATGCACACTAGAATCAAAAGGAGAGGAAACTGGTTTACAATCATAATACTTATATTTTAAGTATTTTTTCAATATAATGTGCTTGATTTAACATAATTCCTCTAGGGGTTCTAGTAATTTTCATACCAAGTATTACATTAGTTTCACCTAAATCTTTCATATCAAAATTATTTTAATAACCCCTTGGTATTTTCCATAATATTCAATTCAGTCCCAAAAATTAAAAGATCATCAACATACAAGCATAGGATAACATGAGTATCTGCAATAGATTTATAGTAAATACATTTGTCACTTTCATTTATTTTAAAATTATTTGATATCATGCTCCTGTCAAATTTTTCATGCCACTGCTTAGGAGCTTGTTTCAAACCACATAAAGATTTTGTTAACTTACAAACTTTAATTTCATGACCAAGCTGTACAAAACCTTATGGTTGATCCATATATATTTCTTCTTTTAAATCTCCATTCAAAAAAGTTGTTTTTACATCCATTTGATGAATTTTAAGATCATGACTGGCAGCAATAGCTATAAGCAATCTTATTGATGTAACTCTTATTACTGGTGAATAAGTATAAAAAAGGTTTATGTTTTCTTTTGCTTAAAGCCTTTAGCTACAAGTCTTGCTTTATATTTATCTATTGTACCATTTGGTTTTAATTTTCTTCTAAGTACCCATTTGTATCCAATAGTTTTACAACCAGTAGGTAAATCAACTAACTTTCAAGTTTTGTTTGACAATAAAAATTCCATCTATTCATTTATAGCTTCTTTTCAAAAAACAAAATCAGGTGAGTTTAAGGCTTCTTCTATAGTTTTTGGATCACCATTTACATTGTAAACTAAATAATCTGGTCCAAAGTTTTTTTTCTACTCCGGCTCTTTTGCTTCTTCTCAAATTTTCATTAGTTCCAAAATTTTTTAAATGTGGAGAGCTAGTTTCACTTTCATTTATTATTTTTTCCTCTTCACCCTCACTATTTCTTAATTTCAATGGAAATTTATCTTCATGAAAAATTGCATCAAGTGATTCTATTATAATGTTACTTTCTATGTCATAAAATCTAAAAGCTTTACTGGTTAAAGCATATCCAACAAATGCACACTTTTTAGCTCTAACTCCTAAATTAGGAATTTTTGGATTGGTTAATCTAACATATGTCAAATGTAGACACCAAATTTTTGTCAATTTTTAACATTTTCTTGAATTTTTTTATTTATTTAATGAGTTATTTATTTTCTTGTATTTTAATGTGTATTTTTTTTCATTTTGCAGGTTTGTTTTAGGAAAGAAACAAAAAGAAAAAGAAGAAAAAGAGAAGATAAAATCTCTCCCTAATTATTTCTTTTTGACCAAATACACTATTGATTCATTTTTACACTCAATATCTCCCTACATCTTTCTTTTCATTTGGTGAGGAACCCATCATTTGATTAACAGAAATTCCACTCATTTGCTTGGACTCTCTCGACTCATTGGCAAACGGCCAACACATAAACACAGTAAACAAACAACTCCCAAGCTTCCCGCTGAATTTTTAACAACAACATAAACTTACCAACTCTGCTCTGTCTCTCGGCTTTTCCTTTTTTTTTCCCTCAACAGACGAACACGCACAAAAAGAAGGAAATCTCCCTCACCCTCTCTCGGCTCTATCACTCCCTTTTTTTCAATTCACACAACACACCCACACACAACTCAAACACAACAAAGCAAGCAACAAAGGAGTGAAGCTTGGGAGTTCCTTCAAAAATTTGACTGAGAAGCTCTTGCTTGGATTGAGGTATTCCCCATTTTTTTGTTTAGTTTCCTTGCTTTTGCTGTCTTTTATTGTTGTTGTTGTATTGCTGAAAATTTGGGAAATGGCATGAACCAATGATGGAGCCAAGGAGGGGCAGAGGGGGGCCATGACCCCCCCTAAGTTTTGAGAATTTTAATTCATAATATGTAAATATGTGTGTAAAATAAAATTGGCCCCCCCTAAATTTTTTCAATTTTAATTTATATTATGAGAGTTGATATATATATATATATATATATATATATATATATATATATATATATATATATATATAGTCATCTTTGAATGGAATGGCTTGCAAGCTTTAATTTGCCATGAATATCCATATGCCTATTACATTCATTGTTTGGCTCATAGGCTTCAACTTGATTTAGTAGCAGTTTCTAGAGAAGTAGCTTCTGTTCACCAATTCTTCTCCAATTTAGTTTTCATTATCAACATTGTTACTGCATCTAACAAACGTAATGATGAATTAAAGGAGGCTCAAGCAATTGAAGTTGCTACTAAGATTGCTAATGGTGAACTTGAAATTGGAATGGAGCTTAATCAAATTGGCACTTTAAAACGAGCTGGAGATACTCGTTGGGGTTCTCATTTGGATTCTATTTCTAGTTTACTGAAAATGTTCAATGCTACTTGTGTGGGTTTAAGTAACATTGCAGTAGATGGAGGTTCATACTCTTAACGTGGAGATGCAAATTTTGCTTTGAATAAGTTGTTATCCTTTAAACTTGTTTTCACTTTGCATCTTATGAAAGACATTATGGAAATTACTCATCTTCTTTGTATAGCATTACAACATAAATCTCAAGATATTTTGAATGCACTGCATCTTGTCTCAAGCACAACAAAGCTACTGAAGAATTTTCGAGATTTGGGATGGGATGATTTCTCTGTGAATGTTAAATTATTTTGTGAGCAACATCAAATTGATATCCCATGCATGAATGCTCAATATATTGCAAGACGTGGTAGATCTCGAAGTCATCATGATGAGATTAGTGTGGAGCATTATTATCGAGTGGATATATTTCTTACAACAATTGATTATCAATTGCAAGAGTTACATAGCAGGTTTAATGATCATACCGTGGAATTGCTTATTTTGAGCACTGCTTTAAATCCTAGAAATGGATTTATGCTGTTCAAAATTGATGATATTTGTAAACTTGCAGAGAAGTTCTATCCAAATGATTTTATGGAGCAAGAACTAGAACGTCTAAGAATAGAACTTCAACATTTTGAGTTCGACATTCCAAATCATCCTGAATTGCAAGAATTATCTGGTATTAATGAGTTTATGTCAAGGCTTGGTGAAGACAAGAAAATCAGTGATATATCCTGTTATTGATAGATTGATTAGACTTGTTCTTACTCTTCCTGTATCAACTGCAACTTCAGAGCGGGCATTTTCAATTATAAAAATAATCAAGACAAAGCTCCAAAACAAGATGGAAGATAATTTCTTGAATGATTGTCTAACTGTGTATATAGAAAAGGAAGTTGCTGAAAATTTTACCAGTGATTCAATCATAGATGAATTTAGTTCTATGAAAGAACGTAGAGCTCAATTTACTTCTAAGAAAAGATGTTGAAATTTCAAAGTATACTAACATAACTTTTATCTTTTTTTAATTAAAAATAGTTACATTTATATTACAAGGTTATATATATATATATATATATATATATATATATATATATATATATATATATAGCATAGGTGACATATTGGAGAGCATCTTCTCATAATATGTAAATTGGATGGTTTGTGATGTTATAAGATATTTAATCAAAGGTTATCTTTTTTGTTAATTTTTGTTATGACTGTACCGTATATTTATGAATAGACATACCTTTATAATTAAATTTAATATTTGATATTTTTAGATGTCATATATTTAAATAAAAGGAAATTATTTTGAACACAATATATTAAGATAATTTTATTAGGAAAAAATTTTGGCCCCCAAAAAAAAAAAATCCTGGCTCCGTCACTGGCATGAACTAGATTGAGGAGAAAAGAAATAGCTTTTGTGTATGCATGCTACATGTTTGATAAAATGCCAAAATGGAAAAACGAATTAAAAAGCTGAATATTGTGCATTTTTTTTTGTCAAAATGGATGACCACTAGCTAGTATAGGTCAGAAAATGTTTGGTTATCCAAAGTTATTGGAGTTTTTGAGCCTTAAAAGCATTGAAGGATTTTTTTTATTTTTTGGACTGTATTGTTTTAATTTTGTTACATTGTTGTTGCTTTTCATTGATTTCAGATCATAGTTATGTTGTAAAATTCATAAGGAGTGTATTGGTATAAGTTTTATGATTTTAGTGATGATTATAGTGACTTTGAAAAAATAAAAACTAGACTATTTTTTGGCTATTTCATCACTTTCGGTTCATTTTTTTGTAAAAACTAGACCCAAAAACGGATTCTACGCGAAAAATCGAGTGGGGGTGTATTTTGGTAATTTTTTCCAACCGGAGAATTTGTTGGCGGCCGGTGGCAGTCCGACAGTGGCGCTGCCGGTGGCTACTATGGCCGGCAGCTGCTGAAGCTTTAGCCCGCCAGAGTGGAAGAAGAAGAAAATGGGAGAAGGAAGAAAGAAAAGAAAGAAAAGAAAATGAATGGGCTAATGTTCTATTTTTTGATGTGCCAATTTCTTTATTTTCAGGTGGGCTAGAGGTTTGTTTTTCTGGATTTTCATCTGGGCTTGTGTTTATTTTTTATGAAGACGGTCCAAGCAAACAAAAATAAATGGCCCAAAGCCCTTTCTTACAAAAGTAGAAAAATGAATTTGCACTTTAGCCCCTAATCTTTGGAGTAATTTTATTGTGACTCAGAAAATGTTAATTTTCTTTCACTTAGGTCCTTAAATTAATTGCATTTTGTTCCCAAAATTTTTTATTTTTATTTAATTTTGACCCTTAAACTTTAGAAAATATATTTTTGACCCCAAACATTTTTCAATTTTTATAATTTAGTCCCTAGTGAATTTGACTCTCTCTATTATAATTGTTTCTTTTCTTTAATAGTTAATTATATTACTTTTGAATATATTTAACTTGTGATTTTTAGATATTCTTAAATTTCTTTATGTTTGACATATTAATGTGAATTTAGTATTTTTATCATTATTATTATTTTCAATTAAATTGATGCCATGATTCTTTTGTTCATGTTGAGTATAAATAGGGCAATTTGACTACTTCAAAATGGAAGTGCTTCTATTATTATTTCAATGTCAATTACGTGCTCTTATGTGCTCATACGTGCTCCTATGTGTTTGTATATTTTTATATGTTTCGTTATTTATTTGATTCAAATGTTCATTCAAATTTTTTTATATTTGTTTAGTTAATTTCTATAATTATTTAGGAGGTATTTAAATACTTTGAAATGTAATATATAGGATAAATAGGTTTATTTTATCATATTTTCCCTGCTTTAGGTTGTAATTAGGTCCCCTATTATAATAGATAGAATATGTAAGTTTATTTTCTTATATTTCCCATTTTAGATTGTAGTTAGATTCCCCGTTATAATAGGTAGGCTTTGCGTGTTTATCTGGTTTATGTGTTTTATGCTTTATCTGCTTTCCTTAGGATTTTGTTGCATCTAGATATTATGTTTACACATTACGTGCTACGTGCTCTTATGTGTTTATTTGTTTTAATTTATGCTTTATTTATTTTACTATGTATTATTAATGCATGGCGTCACCACACTAGTCCAATGCTAGTTGTGGTTTGTCCCTCTATCTATTTGCTAGTCCAACGCTAGTAAGCTTCTTTAAAAATGGGTTAGTCCAACGCTAGATCCGTAGATTGTTCATGCATTAGATTCATTTTATGCATTAGATTCATTTTTTGTATGATATTCATTACATTTTTATGCATTTTTTATTTATTTAGAATTTTTTCTCATTTGCATGATATTTTCTATTATATTATCTCCTACCTTCTATATATGTCAATCATATCATTTAGAATTGCATCTCATTTAAGAAATTATAAAATCAGTTAGTTCATTTGCTTGTCTAAATTAGGAGAATTACTCTTTAAACATGGGAAATGAGTGATTATAACTTTTTAGTTTAAATACTACTAATCCATGTATAAGAAAATTATATCACAAGTTTTTGTCTCCCGTACCCATTATGCTGCATTCATTTTCCTTTGATCACTTATACCTATGTATATAATTTAATTTTCTTTTCTTTTCTTTTCTTTTAATTTCATCTTTTTTTTTTTTTGCTAAACCCTGGGATAGGGAGGGATGCCACCCCCTTGTATTATTAAAAACCACAAAACACCAGTACAGCACCAATCATTTGTGCACGGCCCCAATGCGTATTAGAGGAGTTCTTCTTTTAATTTCATCATTTGCATACTCATGACCCTTTCAAGAAATTATTTTGTCCTTCGCAATTAATACGATTGGTATCAATTAAAACCTTGAATGGAATTTTGTCCCTTTCGATACTTTCTATAAATTTAGATTTGCATCTATATAGGAAACATTCAAACGTGATAAATTTAAGGGTTAGATTAAGAAAATTTTGACTAAATCTCGCAACTAACTTAGACTAAGTTGAAAGGGAGCCTTAGATTCAAGTCAATCGAGCTTCTGCTTTCCCTTTTTTCAACTGTGACTCCCGAACTCATTTTCTCTTGTTCTTCAAAGACTTGGAGTTGTCAAAAAGGATTTTCTTTTATTTTATTTTTGTCAAAACATTTTTGGATGATTTAATACACCCAAAATCAATACCAAGTGACGACTCCTATTTTTCTTAAAAACTCTTTTTGATAAAATTTTGGACCCAAATTGTCGCATTCTTTGAAGTCTCATTCTAGGTCATTTTCACTTATTTTTAAATAAAATCATATTTTTTAAATACGATTTTAAATACGTTATTTTATTTGTGAAAAATGGGGCGCGACACCAAACAACCCCACACACAAAGATAGTTTAAATTTGATTTTCTTTTATTCCATAACTCATAAGGTGTTAAAAGAGTTTGTCTTCTAGGCATTCTATTCATTATGTAATTAGTTGTCAAAATTGCTGCTCCCCAAAAATTCTTTGATGCATTTGCATTCACCATTATTGCATTTGTTAAATTTATTAAAGTTCTATTTTTACGTTCTGTTACACAATTAGATGCAGGTGAATAAGGCAGAGTAGTTTCATGAACAATTCCTAAAGATTTCATGTAATCAATTAATCCCAAAATTTCATATTCTTTTCCTCTATCACTTCTGAACTTTTTAATTTTTTTGTCAAAACGGTTTCAATTTCTTGTACATATGCTACAAGTTTTTCATGTGTTTCACTTTTATGTTTCATAAGATATACATAAGTGTATCTAGAAAAATCATCTATAAAAGTTATAAAATATCTTTTACCACCACGTGTAAGAATGCGGTCAAATTCACAAATATCAGTATGTATTAATTCAAGTAAATCACTACTCCTTTCTACTTTTACATGCGGTTGTTTTGTGATTTTTGTCAAGCTACAATATTCACGTTTTTCAAAATCATTTTGAAGTTTAGGTAACAATCCAATATAACTCATATTCTTTAAGTATTTAGAATTAATATGACAAAGTCGAGCATGCCATAAATTAGTACTAAAAGCAATATAAACAAAACTAAGAGATACTTTATTCATTTCAACATTCAATTTGTACATACCATCATATGCATAATGTTTCCCAACACATGCATTATTTTTTTGTAATCACATATTGATTAGAATCTATAATTTGCTTGAAACCGGTTTTGTCAAGAAGATAGCTTGAAACCAAGTTCTTTCTGATTTGAGGAGTATGAAGAATATCTTTCAAAGTTAAAGTATAGCCAGAGGTGAATTTTAGATCCACATCACCAGCACCCACCACCTTAGCGGTATGTGAGTCACCAAGTAGGACCATTTTACCTTCTTCAGCATGAGTGTAGCTTTTGAACCAATTTTTATCATGGCAAATGTGCTTAGAAGCACCCATATCTACCCACCACCCTTTATGATTCTCTAGCATGTTCACCTCAGTTATCATAGCCACTAAAGGCTCTTCAACTACATGAGTTTGAGGTTTATCACCATGCTTTTTAGGTTGTCCACGTTTCCTAAAATAACAATCCTTGGCTTGGTGACCAAGTTTTTCACATACAAAATATGGACCCTTAAAAGCTTTATTATTATTAGAAGTGGTTTCTTGGTTCTTTCTGGGTCCTTTATATTGATATTGTGGTCTATTCTTATTTTTCATATTTTTCCCTCTAGGCCTCAAGTATGCATTATTTTTAGAATTCTGACATCTAGAGACATTATCAGTTGAAGTAATAAAATGTACCTTATTAGTGTCACCATTGCCATTGGTCTCCTCAAACTTATCTTGCTTCCTTGCCTCCTCTTCGATTCTAAGTCGAGCCATAAGATTGACTAGAGTGATCTCCAACTGCTTGT